TCACTCTGAGTAGTGACACTACTATATTTATTAAAAGCTTTAGGCACTTACTTAAAAGACACTTAAAAGCATTAGGCATGCATTTAAAAGCTGAGCAGATACTGAACTATTCTAACCTGGGTTAGACTATGCTGGCCTGGCCTACTTCCCAGCCATGTGGCCCTTTACCTGCCATCTTTGTCTCACCTTGGCTGATATTTCTCCATCTGTGTCCTCATGGCTACTTCCAGGTACCCATCTGAGACCCTCTCTCTCTGGGTCCTGCTTATCCTCTCTTGCCTAGCTATTGGCTGTTCAGCTCTTTATTAACCAATCAGAAGTAATGAAGAGCAATTTTTACACAACATTGAGATAGGAGATGCTTCATAATAATGACAGCGCCAGCGTGCAGGACTGTCCAGATCTCGGGGTACAAAAGTCAGAATTGGAATACACAGTGCATAAAAACATCGTCCAACATGTCTATGCACCACTTGCCTCCCTGGCACCTGCAAAGGCCAGAAAGTCTCGCATCATCTGGAACTGAAATTACTGATGGTTGTGAGCCACCATATGGGTGCTAGGAATTGAACCTGAGTCCTTTGTAAGAGCAGCTAGTGTTCTTACTGGCTGAGCCCACTCTCCAGCCCCCTTAAAAAATACTGTTTATTTAATATGGGGGTGTGCAGGTGCTACTGTGAGAGCATAGAAATCAGAGGGCAACCTGTAGGAATCAGTTCTCTGCTTCCACCATGTGGGGCCCAGGGATCAAGCTCTGGTCATCAGGCTTGTTAAGTGCCATTACTTGCTAAGCCTTCTCACTGGCCTGCCCAAGTATTTTAGATAAGGGGCACCCAACTTATGTCAAACTTTAAGTCTTCTAACATTTCTAAAAATTCTTCCAGAAAAGAGGTGGGGGGAGTGAGAGTGTACAATATTTAATCAGATTTTGCCTGTGTTCCTGCCTCCTTTTTGACTGTGTCCTTTTGGTCCTCAGTTCTCAATTGAATAGGACTTTCTATCTAGTCTTTTCTGTGTTTTGGGGGCACAGTCTTACAGCTGTTGAAGTCGCTTAGCTGTGTGTCTGAGATAGTTGGTGTGAGAAGGAAGCACCTGAAGTCCTGGCCTCAGCATGTGGTAGCAGAGGCTGTGGGCGGGAACCTATGAGAAGTTCTGACCTTTTCTCTGTTCCATCTCCTCTTTCCCTACCCACTAATTACTGCTTAGGAAGAAGCCGTAGCTATCCTGGAATGAGTCCCCTCAGTTGCTTTCTGGGGTTAAAACAACTTCCTGTCTGAAATGATGGCATGTAAGTAGTAGGTGGTGGTTAGCCTCTTCATGCCTTTATTTGGCAATGTTCATGGCAGCAGTCTATGTGTCCCCACATTTCCTCTTTGTTTTCTGTCAGATTTGGTTTTGGTTTTAATTTTATGAGTGCACTGGTATGTAAAAGACACAGCATCATTGTTGTAACTAAATTGTTCTAGTTTTTGTTTTGATTTTTGAGAAAGGGTCTCTTTGTGTGGCCCAGGCTGGCCTCAAACTCATGATCATCCTGCCTTGGCCTTCCAAGTGCCCATGCCCAGGGAAGAGTCAAGTATCCCAACCGCTAAAGCATCTGCCTTCAATATTAATGTTAAGAGTATCATGTTTAGTGAGAGGCGATGGACTGTAGTTGCATGGTTCTCTCCCACATTGTTACCCTAACCTAGAAAGCTGAGTAGAAACACAAGCCAAATATCTCCCCAAAGAGGTCCTGTGTGTACTGAGAGAAGTCTCCAGTGTGTATACATGTGTGTATACACACTGTGTGTGTGTGTTTTGAGAGTATATGTATATGTGCGGGTACATTCTGTCATTTTGTGTTTAGTGTGTGTACATGCATGGATGTGTTAAATTCTATGCATTTATATGCATGTGTACATATGTGTTTAGTGTGTATACCTATATAGTAATACGTACACACATGTGTTTAAGAGATAGTACAAAAGGGTATGCACTGAATACAAGCATAAATATGTAAGTATATGTATTTGCATGAGAGTATGAGATACCTGTATATTCATATGAGAGTATATGAGTATGTATGTGTGTCAGAGAGAAATATGTGCATAAACGCACAGGTATGAAAGTGTAGGTGTTTTTGCTGATGTGCCTATCTTGACTTCTTGAATTTTACTCCCATCACAGGCAGTGCCCTGGTGATGACCTTTGTGCCCTTGGGCTCACTTGCTCCTGGTGGACCATGTCTAAGCCACTGTCTTCTCTGTCTTCTATAGGTTCTCCCATGGGCAGGTGGTCTCTGTGGATGAGCTTCGTCCATTCCAGGATCCAGACTTGAGCTTACTGCAGGCTGGCTCTGCATGTCTGGCCAAGCACCAGGATGGCCTTTGGCACCCAGCACGGATCACTGGTGAGATTGCCTACAAGGACCTAACTGTGGGACCCTTTTTGAAATACCCTCCTTGTTCCTCATCCAGCCATTTGCCACCTCCTCTGGGTTGGGCTTTGAGACTTCATCTGAGCCTAAGAGGAGCAGGTCTGCCTTTGTCCCAAGCCCCCTTCCTTTTCTGTTTCCCACTATGCTCCTAACTAGTTGCCCAACCTGTAAAAACTACTGACCTACAGCCTGTCTCTATCACCCTAGATGTGGACAATGGCTACTATACTGTTAAGTTTGACTCACTACTGCTGAAGGAGGCTGTGGTGGAGGGGGACAGCATCCTGCCTCCTCTGCGCACTGAGGCTACAGAGTCATCTGACTCAGACAGCGGTGATGCAAGTGACTCCAGCTATGCCAGAGGTATGGCAGAAATTAGTGCCTAGAAGCCAGGATGGTGAGGGAATAGAGCAGATTGGAGATAATTATCCAGACAGGCACCCAGCTCTTTGGATAACTGTAGAACAAGTGATGGTGTGAGTACATCACTTTGCACAAAAATCTACAGGAAAGGCCCTGAAGGATCAGAGAGTGTGTGAAAGCCTGGGTAGGACCTTTAAGAAACAGACACAGCAGGCCAGGCTTGGTGGTACACACCTTTAATCCTAGCACTCAGGAGCAGAGGCAGGCAGATGTCTGAATTCAAGACCAGCCTGGTCTACAAAGTAAGTTCCAGGACAGCCAGGGCTATACAGAGAGACCCTGTCTCAAAAAACCCAGGGGAAAAAGAAAAAGGAAAGAAAGTCAAGACACGGCAATTTCATGCAACAGTCAGAGCCCTAAAGTAGTGTGGCAGGCACCACACTATAGGAGAGAAGAGAATGTTGTTGCTAGACCTGCCAAGGAGTCACAGGAGATAACTGAATGTAGAATGTAGGAAAGGGTGGCTTCTTCAGATGATTTCCCAGATTTAGAGCTTGGATGTCTGGTGTGTAGAACAGAAGAGATTTTGGCAAATGGAAAGTATGTTCAGGTAAAATAGGGATTTCAGGAAATGAAACTCGTAGGTAATGTATAGTTCTTTTGAGCGTTGTTTAGGATGAAGATAGGAAGATGTTTCTGGGAACTTGTGATGTGAATTGGTGTTTTCTAATTCCCTATCCATGGTGGCAGACAGTAAACTGAAGCAATAAAGTTGGTTACAATACAGCCATCTCTCAAGGCAGAGTTGCCGGCAGTGCCCACAGCATGCTTGGGGAACTTGATGGGATCCAGAAGTCCAGGAGATCAGGTCCTACATAGGAACTGAGTTCTTGGGTAGCCTTGGCTCAGCCTACAACTTGCAGTCCTCTATCTCCTGCAGTGGTGGAACCACACACAGTGAACACTGGGACCTGCAGTTCTGCCTTTGCTGGCTGGGAGGTACACACACGGGGCATTGGCTCCAAACTCCTCGTCAAGATGGGCTATGAGTTTGGCAAGGGTGAGTGTATGCTGCCCTGTGATGGGAGGGGTGCCTCAACCCAGCCCAAGTCTAGCAGAGGTAGCACAAGCCCCTGTTTTTCCCAGGTTTGGGCCGGCATGCAGAAGGCCGGGTGGAACCCATCCATGCCGTAGTGTTGCCTAGAGGGAAATCACTGGACCAGTGCACAGAGATACTACAGAAGAAGACAAAGGGACGTCAGGCTGGGGCCAATAGACCTCCAAGATGTCGGAGGAGTGGTAGTAGACCTGAGGGCCGCCCACCCCCTCGGAATGTGTTTGACTTTCTGAATGAAAAACTGCAAAGCCAGGCTCCTGGGACTCCAGATGCTGGGGTGGACACCCCAGGAAGAAGGAATAAAGACATGTATCATGCCAGCAAGAGTGCCAAGCAGGCTCTGAGCCTGCAGCTCTTCCAGACTGAGGAGAAGATTGAGAGGACCCAACGGGATATCCGTGGCATCCAGGAGGCCCTAACCCGGAATGCTGGCCGGTATGTGTGGGATCAAGCTGAGGCAGTATGGGCTCCATTGGCTGTGCCCAGAGGATACCTGCTAAAGGTCAGCTGACCTGAGTAGTAGCTGAGTCTGAGGTGGTCTAGATATTGGAGGATGGGCATTGGCCACAGCATCTGAGGGCCTGGTAGTGGGGAGCCAGGGGCCAATGCTGACCAGCAGGCTCTCCCTAGGCACAGTATGGCGACAGCGCATCTGCAGGAGAAGCTGGAAGGAGCCCAGCGGCAGCTGGGTCAGCTGCGTGCTCAGGAGGCCGGCCTACAGAGGGAACAGCGGAAGGCAGACACTCACAGGAAGATGACCGAATTCTAGCAGCCCTGCCTGTACTGTGGACAGAGCCCTGGGACACAACTACCTTGGCAGAGAGACAGCTGTCACCTAAACATCACCAGGAAGAGGAGCCAGCCCATTCTTAGGATGTCCTTTATTTAACCTTGTCAGCCCAGAGTGTGAACACTACTAAATAGAGATGGGACATCAGGGCTGATTTTAAACACTTACTTGCCCACCAAGCCTACCTACCAGTGTCTTGGGGTATCTATTTAGGACATTAAAGTGATCTCATCATAATTTCTCTCAGTGGAGACTGAGCTGGCTTCAGGATCTCTGGGACAAAGGGATCTGTGTAGGTACTGGCAACAGACAGGTGGGCTGTGGGAGTCCCATATGAGGCTATTGCCTCTGTCCAGGGTCCAAGAGTACAAGAGAAGAGCATTCTCTCTTCTCTGACCAATTGGGTAAGAAGGCCTGTCAATGCTCAGTATTCACAAACAGGTGGGGTATGCGAAGTGGAAAGGCCTTTTAGGGACACTGTCAGTGAGAAAAGCAGGCAGGCCTAACTCAAGTGGGTTTGGGGTTCATTTCTGGTTTTTGCTGCCACAGATAATACATCCAGTTGACCTGCTCTTTTCACCTCATTAATGAGTATCTGCCTCATTAGGGTGGAGGGGACTGTGATAGTCCTTGTGATAATTGCCTAGTGATGGCAAAAAGCCATGATGAGATGTGAGGAAGAGAGCAGAGACTGTGGGAGCAACTGCGCAAGAGCTGTGTGGCTGCTGGGAGGTGCTCTGAGATATGCAGGAAGTGAGGTGAGGCGAGGCGCTCAACCAGCAGCCCACAAAGATCTTCCTGGCTGTCTTATGCAGACCCAGGCAGCAACCCCACAGTGGCCTTGGTAAGTGCCTGCCCCATCCTCCATCCTGGGACAGTCCCCAAGCCTCTCCAAGCCCTGGGGTCTGGGAGGACCAGTCCCTTGCCTAGGCAGGCCGTTGAGACTTGGCTGTAGGCAGGTTAGTCAGCTTGGGCCCCTTCTGTAAGAAGCGTACACCCCAAGCCTGAACATATAGGCCCTCTCCTCAGAAGGCTGTTCACCCTGATTTTGCTCATCCTAAACTCCTGGGTGAGCCCCTAATCACCTCTACTGAGGGCAGCTCCAGGAAAAGCAAGAACTCTGGGAAGAGGGGAGTAGGTTGGGGGTAATTTTCCCTCATAACAGTTCCTCTTGTTCAATGACCCCCAACTAAGCTTCTGTAGTAAGCAGTCTAGGAACATTACCTGACACAAGGGCTCACTCCTGGTCAGTGGTGGCTGGAGTTGTCTGTGGTCTGTGGCTGAAAGTCAGTGCTGTCAGAGATTACCCGAGGTGATGGGGTATGAACCACAATGAGTTTAGTAGCCTTGTTCAGTTCAGGTCATAGCTGCTCTGGCCATGCTCCTCTTACCACCATAGCCATTTCTGATAACTAAAGGAGTAGGCAGACCTCTTTTACCAGGAACCCTAACTAGAGTAGGAGTGTTCCCAGGGCAGGGCAAAAATGCAAGGCCTGGGGGTTTCCGGTGTGCTGAGTCAACCAGGGAGGAAGAACCCGCTAGCTGGGCAAGATCTGCAAGTAGGCTGCAGGTGTGCACTGGTCTCTCAGCCAGCCCCTAGTCTTATCTTTTTTGTCCCTAGGTGCCCCTTTTCCTGCCTCACAGGATGAGGCCACCAGTGCCTTCAGCCCCACTAGCTCTCTGGGTCCTGGGGTGCTTCTCCCTGCTCCTCTGGCTGTGGGCACTATGCACAGCCTGCCACAGGTATGTGCCTAGGGTTCTTTCTGCCCTCACCCTTGCATGGCTCAGAGCCAGAAGTCACCACAGAGAATTTCATATTAGGGCTCTGCATGTGCCTCCACACTGAGCCTGGACCAGCATCTGACCACCTCTGCACCTTCTTCTGCCTACTGGACTAACAGTACTTTTGCCCCCAGGAAGCGAGCTCAGAGGCAACAAACTGGGCAACAGGGCAGCTTGATACCAGTGGAAATGGTGAGTGCTAGACTGTCCTTGGGGTCAGGGTGAGGACAGCAGGGAATCAACTAGCCTTCCTTGCCCCTAGTCACTGCTGAGACAGACCCATCTCTGCTCCCTCAGCAAGTCTGACACCAGATTGCATGAGCTGCGCCGAGGCCCATGCTCCAGCATAGGTGAGCTCCTCCTGGGAGACCAGAAGTGTAGGGCTGGCTTCAGTCTCCCACCACGAGGGCTAGTTCTGTTGCCTTAGCCCCTCAGTGACCTCTGCTTTGATCTCATCCCTAGCCCCACGGCCTGCTAGCATGGATCTCCTGCATCCACACTGGCTGGAGATGTCCAGGGGTAGCACCAGGTCTCAGGTACTCCCGTCTGCCTTTCCACCACGGCAGCTGCCCAGGGCCCCTCCTGCTGCCCCTGCAACTGCACCTTCTCCTATCCCTGAGGCCACTTATTCCAATGTGGGGCTGGCTGCAATTCCTAGGGCCAGCCTGGCTGCTAGCCCTGTGGTGTGGGCTGGAACACAGCTGACCATTAGCTGTGCCAGGCTTGGTCCTGGGGCCGAGTATGCCTGTGTCCAGAAGCACAAAGGGACAGAGCAGGGCTACCAAGAATTGCAGCAGAAGGCTAAGGTGATCCCAGCTACTCAGGTAATGTCAGCCTGGGTAGGGCAGGGTAGATGGGACTGTGCCCATGCTTTGCAGAAGACAATGCCAAGCCCTCCTTTGGGTTTGCTTCTCTTCAGATGGATGTCCTGTACTCCAAGGTCTGCAAGCCCAAAAGGAAAGACCCAAGACCTGTCACAGACCAGCTGGATCCCTATGGTGGGAGGGCAGTGCTGGCTCTTGAGAGTGGTGTGGAATATGAGGCCATCGCTCTCAGGGGCCAGGATATGAACCAAGGTCCCTTAGAAAATGTGTATGAAAGCATCAGGGAGGTGAGTCCCTGAGCAGTTGAGCCCCCATATCCTGTCTATTAACATGCATTGATACAGAAAGAGTACCAAGGCTTCTGCTTCAGCAGGGTTTGGTTACAGCTCCTCTGTGTCCTTCCACCCCAAATCTCAGTCCTGTAGCCTATTAAATTTCTGTCACAGAAGGTTGGCTCTCGGTTGCTCTTTTTTTTTTTTTTTTTAAGGTGGAAAATTTGGAGTGGGAGTTTTCTGAAAGGGTTAGAGATGTCTTTTTCTAGTCTTTGGGAGTTTGTGGGCCTTGGCCTCTGAGGCCATGCTGGTTATCAGACCAACAAGTCAGTGGGCAGGAGAGAAGGCAAACAAGCCTTTTGCCATGGTGGTTTCCTAAGCCTGAGGGTCTGGAACAGCACGGAAGAGTGGGATTTGGATCTTCAGATCCTCCTGAAACCTGTCACCAGTAGGTGGCAGTAGGCAGTAGGTGTTAAATAATAATCTGCTCCCAAGAGGCCAGCCAAGAAGCTTTAACCCTTTCCTAGCTCTGGTAGCTTTGCGCGCGCCACACACACACACCCACACCCACCCACACCCACCCACCCCCCCCCACCCCCCCCCCCACACACACACCCACCCACACACACACCCGGGGGAACGCCATGCCAGGGGCGGGACAAACTGAGGTGTAGACCAATAGACGTGGGCACTGGGCGGAGCTGAGCATGTAGGAGGTGAGGTGGCAGTTAGGCCACTTCAGGTGGCGCAGTTGGAGGCCAGATCCTGGGTAGAGGGTCATTGACCTTGCCCCAACTTGGGGCTGGGGCGAGACAATCCGGTGTCAATTCTGAGACATAAGCCATGGAGGCAGAGGCCACAGGAGTTGGGTTCAGTCGAGGCCTAGCATTTGTAGCCTCCCCAGATTCTTGTGGGCTGCAGATCATGACTCTGGCTAAGTGCAGAGGGCCTGGGTCAGTGCACAGCGCCATTTACTGTGCCCACACCACCATGGCTACAGGTGGACAGAGGCATTGCCAAAGTTTCTTTTTAAAGATGGGGTCTAGCCTGCCAAACTTGGGGCTCTGAGAGCATGGCAGCTGGGGTTATATCAGCCTGTGCGAACATGTCAGTATGTATCCGTGGGTCAGTCAGGCTAGGCTGAGAGGCCAGCAGATGCTTCCCATCACCAGAGCAGGAGCTGGGGCTATGGTGGAGCTGTATGATCCATACCAGCTGCAACTGGTGTAGATGTTGGGCACCAAGCAAACTTGAAATGGAGTTCTGGGGTCCCCAGCCAACTCTTACATGGAAACCTCCACCCCCACTCCCATTTTCAGGGCCCTTCTATAGGTCGCAGGCTTGGAGTTCTCAGAGCTGCACCTCAGGCTGTGGACCCAGGAGCTTTGGCAACCAAGTCTGGAGCCTCAGCACAATTTCCAGCTCCTGGGAATATCTCAGTGCCAGTAAAGAGGTGAGGCAGGGCCTTATACCTCAAGACTAAGAATGTATATATGTGTACCAATGTGTGTTGGAGCGGTAGATGCTGGCACAGATGTCAGCCTTTGGAGACCTCTGTGGAAAAGGAATCAGGGTCCCAACCTGACTATCTAGGAATCTCTGGGGCCCCAGCCTCTATTTACTTGCCAGCCCTGTACTGCTGACTGTCTGTGCAGCAGGAGCTGACTATTCAGGCCCCTGGGGACCTGCCTGTGCTTTGACTCCCTAACTGCTGTCAAAGGCTTGCTGTTCCGCCCTCCTAGGCCTTGTGCTTGGCCCACAGCTGCCGCTGCACAACATGGTTAATGTGTATGGTTCAGGAGGGCTGAACCATAGCTGGCCTTACCGCTTAGTAGGCCTGCAGAACGCTGCTCAGCACCAGGGTCTGAAGAAGCCATTATGGAAGGAGCATGGGCTGTGAAGAACTCAGGCCTTTTATGGACCCCTGTCCTGTTCTGTGGTTTCTAGATTTTCAGCTCTGCAACCTGGTCTGGGGGTGGAGCCAGGCCCCTTGCCTGATGCCCAAACAGGCCTGCACATGTATGCTGGGCCAGGAGAGGGGTCTAGAGCACTTGTTGAGCCCCAACCTCATCTCCAGAATTCCCCCAGGAAAAGCCCAGCTGGAAGAGGTCACAGCTGCTGCAGCCCTTACAAACCTGTCTACCAGCCAACTCTGTTTGGGGACCCCAGCTGTCACCTTCAATCCAGGTGAGACTCAGAAATCTATGCTCAAGTATGAGCAGAGTCCAGAACTTCTTTTATTCTGGCACACTGAAGCCATCAAGCCTCTATGGAGTAAGCAGTGACCCCAAACCTGATATGCCTAAGCTTGCCTCTTGCACTTTCTCTAAAGAGGCATCCGGACTTTAAATGCCCCTCACTGAGGCCAAACCTGTACCTCCTTTTGGCTGGCCAGGCTAATTTCTGGTCATGCCACATACCCCTACCCTTCCTTTGCTGGAGAGGCTCCTCTCCAGTCTCTGAAGCCAAATTCTTCCAGCTGCCTCTACTCTACGAGACTCACCTGAACAAGTGGTAGCTCATGAGCAGGGATTTAGAGCCAGCAGACAGCAACTTCTGCAAAGCAGCTTGAGGCTTCTGAGATCCTGAGTGAAGTGTCCCTGCAGAGTCTGGCTTGGAGCCCTGGAAGGAGGCCATGGTTCATCCCTCAGGCAGCTGCAGCACTAGCAGCAACAGTGGAGACGGGGGCTGGGACCTGGCCAGAGACCAGTCTTCTCCATTCACTCCATCACCCCACTGGCCCATGAAGCAGTCCACTTTCTAGATGGCAAGATAGGGTGGCTACTGTTGACCTAGGCCCCTATCACTTCAGAGCTCTACACAGGTCATGTTTCAGTGCCTGTGGAAGAGCTACGGAAAGGGGCAGACACACATCCACCTGGTGCACCTGGGGTGGGGTGGGGTGGACTTGGGGCTTGGCCAGGGTGGAGTCAGGCCTAGTCAAAACTTGAGCTTTCACCTCTCTGTTCCCAGCAGAAGCCAGGTAGAGCCAGAGCAGAGTGATGGCAAGAACTCCTACTACATGGAGCTGGGTGTTGGTAGGAACATGCTGATGGACTGTCCAGCCTGACCCCCATATATCCTACAACCCCTGTGCCACTCACCTTTCCCCGGGTGGAGCTCCCAGAGCTGCTGGAGGCCCCAGCACCTCCCAACCTGTTACAGCTGTTAACCAAGCTCAGCTCTTCAGCTGTTCCACAGGCATGCCTACCAGCCAGGTGAAGCCACAGATGGAGATTGGGGGCAGGTCTCAGACCACTCTAGAGGGAAACAGAACAGGGGGTGTGGCTCCTTCCAGAGCTGTCTGGCTCCCATCCACCAGAAGCCACAGGCCGAGGCCTACATACCAACCCTGACTGCCAAGCTTGGGGCCAACCTGAGGTATGTGTAGTTTGAGGGGCCGGGCATGTACTAGGTGGTAAAGGTCTCAGATGACAGTTCTCCATGCCCCCTGCATGTCCCTTCCAGGAAGTCCCAAGACAGTGGGATGCCAAGATGTGCCAGAAAGTGTATGGCATGGACCACAGGGATCTGCTGCTGGAAGAAAGCCTGCCATCAGTTCCTTGACCGAGCCAATCCATGATTGTGCTTCCCAGCCTTCTTCCCACTCCCAGCCTGAAGCTACAGCAAACCTGTGGTGGGATTTGATGACCCTGGACTCCTAGAGATTGAAGGGTGACTGACTATGCAAAGTACCTTAGAAGAAGCCAGCCTTTTGCACTAAAACCAAACTGTATGTTGTCCTTTTGGCCTCAGGGACAGCTTGCTTCCCTATCTGTCACTCACAGACTTGTTAAAGATGTCAGCTGGCCTGCTAGTGCCTGTTTAAAATGCACTTTGAGAGGTGTCAAGGGAAGGTCTCTCCTCACATTTAAGGTAGTGGTTCCAGGACCCTGGGGCTGACATTTTACCATGTTAATGAAGCTCAGGTGTCATGTGTCTGGGCTATACCAGTCAAGGAGAAAAATTAAAAAGTGTGGAGTTGTTTGCTTGTTGGTTTAGTTTTCCAGAAACCAAGGTTATCTCCTGAGGAAAGAAATGGAAGTAGGAGGGTAATAGGAAATGAACAATAAGCAATAGGGCTGGCAGCTACCTCCACTCGGGCTGAGGTCCACAGAAGAGTACTATTTGAAACCACACAGGAGGCATCTGCATGGAGCAGCAATTTCCCATTTTATTTAAAGTGATCGTTTTGCAAGAATGTCTACACTAATCCCATCACAGAGAGGAAACCCACAGGCAACCTGGAGCACATCTAGGCAGACAAGAAATCGCAAGAACCACTATAGAGAAGGTGATCTTTACCTGTCTGTGGCTATCGAGAAGCAGGACAACAGAGCAGTGAACCCCACCAAATGATTATGACAAACCTCCCACAAATATTGAACACATCTTCAATACAAACACAGCTTTATAATAATTAATATAAAGTCAATATAATATAGATTATCCCCAGAAAAAAATTAACAATCATCTTCAAACACTGCCTTTTTTTCTTTTTGTTGACAGATTGAAAGCATGTTGAAAAAAATAAATATTTAAGAAAAGCACACACACACAGCACCCTCACTACAAGTGATTCTAAAAGAGCCACATACAAAACACAATAGGATCTAAAAAATAACACCACCATTAAGTATGGCTTTCTCAGGAGTTGTACATGTCATAGAATGAGCCAAAGTAAGATTATCCTTCAGAATATTGCAAAAAGTTCCAGTTTTGCATTTTCTCAGGTTTTGTTTTGTTGCTTGTTTTTAAAGGAAGATGTGCAAAATTGGAAGCATAACTGTGGAGTCACAGCACTATCTTAGCAGTGTCCTGTTCCACAAAACTCAGAGTCCAAATATACAGACTGATCAGGATCCAGAGACCCATACAAAGTCGTATCGCTTCCCCACCTCAACCTCAACAACACCCACCCCATGGACTATAGTTTCCACTTTGGTGTTGAAAACACCAGAATACAGACATACACACACAAAAAAATACAAAATGTGAAATGTAATCTACACATTTTTCTTCTTCATAAAAAAATATTTATTAATTTGAACATTGATTTAAAAAAAAAGTCACACTAAAAGAAAAAAAACTTCAATACATATGTCTTTTCCCTCCATGCCTCCTGAGATGGATGTGTTCATCTGGATCTCTAGAATTCCACTTTCCAATTAGAAACTGAGCCTGAACAAAGCCTGCCACATGGCAAACGCTTGGAAGGTGGTGGGACCAGAACTGGGACCCTCAGTGTTCTGGTACAGTACTAGTTTTAAGGAAGTGCTCTGCGGCACCAACAGGAAACCCCAGAAAGGCCAGCAAAGGCAGTCTGGAAGGGGAGCCAGTCAGAGCAAGACATCCTGAGAGTGGAGGCACAGGTGCCTTGGGAGGTGGGCCAGGGGTCCTGGGTCCTGGGCAGGACAGCCTGAGAAGTAGGGACTGATACAAAAACCCAGAGACAGTGGTAGCAAAGGTCTGGTTTCCAAATGCATTTTATAAGAAACGTAGAAAAGGCATTTTAAAAGAGGGAGAAAGGTACTAAGTCTGAGAGCCCTCAGTGGGGCCTGACAAGGCTAGACAGTCTCAACCTGGTTTTGTTGGTAAAAGGGGTCTAGCTATGCTGCCATACTGGGTGGAAAAGTACTCAGAACCAGCATGTCTCAGAGCAACTGGGCAGTGAGTGGAGGGGCACACAGCTTCCCAGGCAACTGTTCCTACATGCTGTGTATAAGAGAGTCCTGGTCCTGTTGCTTTTGACTGTTGTTTTGTTTAAAACAATAAAAGCTATGATTCCTTCCTTCTATAGGAAGCAACCTGCACCCAGTCCAGCACTCTTCTGTGGCTTAGGCAGCTGGTACTTGGGGAATGTCACCAGGTTAGCAGATGCTCTGAACCATTGGGACATGAATTACAGTTTTATATGAGGCTTCTCCTTACTGACCTAGAGAGAATAGATGTGCCAGTTTAAAAAAAAAAAAATTAAGAGCCATTTGACTTAGTGTTTGAGAAAGGAAAACCAAAATTCTCTAATTGGCCCTAATGTTTAGTAGCCTGATGAGCCCCTGCACAGGGTTGGGGGTAGCCCATCAGAATGCTCACTGAACACCACTGCAGTGGGGGCCTTTGGGAGGTGAGGTGGGTGAAGGATGGAATGTCTTGATAGTTTTGTCAGAAATGGCCTCAAGAAGAGGACAGGCTGTAGTATCTGTGTCTACCCTGCAGGTAAGTGTCTCTCTGGGCCTCAAAGCTGTGAAGCCTACACTTTTCACAGAATAAGTTGGAGAGCCTTTAGAAATACAGCAGAGGACTTGATGAAGAGTTAAAGGAAACCACTCCTATAGAGTCCTGTCAAGTGAGAAAAACAATTCAAAACAAGTAATCTGTAGTAACCACCTTAAAATGTCTCTGACTTTAAAATTTGGTTCCTAGGCAGGGAGGCATAGCAGCACACTGCAGCTAGGAACACCCACCTCCAGTGTTAGCAGCAACAAAGGCAGGAGCTGAGCTCCATCTGGTCCAAGGAGGGGTCAGCAAAAGAGCAGGCAGAACTCAGGGTGCACAATGGGGTGCTCCAGGAAAGTGCACACAGAACAAAGAGCTGTGGCCCCTGCAACTCGACCCTGTGGGCCTCAAGTGAAAAGCATCCAGCCACAGGTCCCCTCTTGAACAGACAGCCGTCCCTCCTTGGCCTGCCCGTTGCTGCTTCCCACAGAGATAGCACCTGGAGCCCAGGGCTTCCAGAGAGGCTTCTGTAGCCATTTTGTGTTAAGCACCAAAGCCTGGAGGTAAGAGAGTTGCGGGACTTTTTGCTCACTAGGTTCCACCAGCTACCATGGAGCAGCAGGAACCAAGAGGACAAAGTGACACAGGGCCATAGCCCAAAACGTGACTGCTGGGAGTTGAGCAGGAGAGGACAGATGGAGATTGAGCAATGCTGTGGATGGAGCCATTTGTGTTTATGCAAAACTCAACACCTACTCAGACTTGCAGTCTGGGGGAGTGCCCTCATGACCCTAAGCAGTGCTGACCCTGACCTGTGCACTGACTCATCTTGCATTCCTGGTCAGGTTCGAAGCAAAGGGCTCCTTTGATACCCTGAGGAAGCATGCCCAGGCCTTGGCGCAGCCCTGCCCGTACATCTACACATGCCTGCTGGGGCTCCAGTATCACCTGGGCAGCTGGAAGCATCCTTCTCCCTCTTCCTAAACCCACACTGCACCCCTCACTTTGTGTTCAGACCTAGAGCTCCCAGTCACTGGAGTTACACCCAATTCTTAGATCATAGAACCAGTTTCTGCAAGGGGGAGGGGGATAGGACAGAGGAGGACCTGGAGGAAGAACTTCAAGAAGTCAGTATGGTCCTACTTCTGGGTAAGACCCACTAAGACACACACACAGGTGGACAAAGTGATTCAGCCACTACACACCCTGTCCACTAGAGCAGAGCCCCTAGGAGATCCAGGCAAAGTCTTTATCAGGCTCCCCAGAGGGACTGTGGGGCCCCTGCGGAGAGTCCTCATCATCCTTGTCATCTTCCAGCAGTGCATCCTCATGTGCCAGACCCACATCGTCCTTCCATTTGGCCACATCCTCCTCCTCATCCTCGCCCAGCTCCTCCTCGCCTTCCCCTTGTGGATCATCTGGGTCCTCCAGGTATGGCGCTTCACCAGCAAACAGTGCCTCAGGGGAGCCTTCACCACCTCCACCATGGTCCAGTGGTGTGGCCACACCCCGGCCAGCACAGTCTGCACACACACCATGGCGACGAGAGCCGTGCTTAATGCCCACACTGGCTGCAGACATGAACACACGGCTACACACCTTGCACACATACTTCTTGTCCTTGCTGTGGACCTGGAGGGACAGAGAAGTTAGTGGAGGGATGAAATATGGGGGTGAGGAGCACAGACATGAGAGACACAGGAACGACAGCCCCTGTCAGGGACTGAAGGTAACATCCATCTGGAGCCCACATAGGCAATATCACCAGGAGCAGCAAATCATCTTGGGGATGATACAGGCACCAGGGGAAACAGTGCCATGCCCTCAGCTACAAACCAGGCCAGGCCTCAACATACCCATCTTCAAGTCCTCCCACTAGGTGGTAGGTAGATACAGTTTTCATTTGGTCATATTACTCCTCCTGCCTGAATTACCCTTCCCTACAAACCTCCACGCAGGGCAAGCTGAGAGGCTCCTCTCAGAGCCCTAGAGCAGCTCTGGAGCCCAGCTGCCATTAACCTTGTACAGGCAGAGGGGCTGGCCCGGCAGCCCAGGTGGCGCAGAGCTAAGAAACACAACACTGCTCAGCTGGGTGCACAGGGCAGGGAGCCCATACACAACTGTGGTTGGAATCTGCCTTTGGGGAAGCTCCGCCTAGCTTGGTGGATTGGGCAGCATGGGAGCTACGGCTGAGGAGCTGAGGGAGAGGGGTCAGCATGGAGTCCTAAGAGATGGCGGATGGGAAGCAGACTGGAGCCTGAAAGCAGAGCAATGGAGCTGACCCCCAGTCTAGCTGCTATGCACCTTGCTTCCACTGAAAAGGGGCAACTCCTGTCCTTGCCCTGCAATGATACAGATGAGCAGCTAGGGTCAGCAGAGGAGACCCACCCATTGTATTACTTGGCAGGAGGGCACAGTGCTCAGTAGAGGGGGCTTGAGTGTATAAAGCACAAAAGTCTGGAGTTCCTGGAGGGGAACCAGGAGGCCTGGGCCTAAGGAAGTGTGCCTAGGAGCCAGTGTAGCCTGTAGAAAGTTAGGCTGTGCAGAATTGCCTTCCTAGAGATGGGATTCACCGAGTGGCCACAGAAATTTTCAGCCTGGCCAGCTCCATTGTACCTCCTTGCATATAAAACATAACCCTAAGCTTCAAAGATGGAAGATGGAGGAACCCAGAGAAGCCCATACTGTCCAGGCCATCCACAGATGGACTGGTCTCCAGTTAGCACCCTAGATCTAGTTAGGTTTCCTTAGCTGGAAGTTTCCCTAGACTCTAGGCTCCCCTCCTTCCTGCATGTTCTGCTACCAGGACCTGCTGGAGAACAGGCTGCACACAGCTAAGGCAGTGATTGTAGTTTGTTCCCACCTTCCTGAATCTTCCAATTCTCCAACTATAAACGTAACAGCAAAGGGCTCCTCCACTCACAAAGATCTGCCCACAAGATGTCACTGTGTTTCTATGTCTGGGCCTTGAGTACTACCTTCACCAGCTGGGGCTTCTCAGGCCTGCAGTCCCAAAGATCATGCAGAACACCCAGCCTCCCATCTTAAAGACATCTTTCTTGCAGGCAGAGTTGCCTTCCACAGAACTCTGAGTTGTTAAGACTCAAATATAACTGCCCACGGAGAAAAACTGGGGAAGCCCACAGCATGACCTGGGAAGGGGTGTCATGGAGAACTGGTGGCCATGGAGCTGGGGCACCAGCCTCAGAAGCTTCCCTGAAAGCTTGATTCTAGGAATGAAACCTCTAACGACTTGGCACACAAGGCACTTCCTTTTGGTTTCTTTGGTTTAGGTGCTTCTTTCCCTCTCTGGCTTGAAACCCTCAATGTCCTTGTTTCAGCCTCCACAGTTCTACAATTACAGATATGTTCCTCCATGTGTGCTGTGTTGTAGTGCTAGGGATCAAACCCAGAGGTTCCTGCGTGTTAGGCAAATAATCTACCAACCGAACTACACATCCGCTCAGGCCCTTGTTTTGTCATTTTAATCCCAGAGTTTCCCCCTTTCTCTATCACAGAAGAACAAAACTTAGGCCAAGTTACAGCAAGATATGTGTTGAGGAGGCTGACACCACCAAGATTCCTTTGGCCTGGGTCTACCATATGAGTGAGGGGCTGTACTGTGATGCTCAGCGATGACAAAGGTGTTTTCAGGGAACTGCTCATCACCACGCTTGCCCATCCTAACTGACATGCCCAGGAAGAGCCACAGAAGGATGGTGGGTGTCATGGTAATCCGCTGCTAAGCCCCTTTGTCATGATTTTGTGCAGTGGAACAAATCCATGCCTTCCTGATCCTTGGGCAAGTACAGCGGCATGGCTCTCAGCACCGTGTCTCCACCTCTGGAGGTGCCGGGAAGGGTTTTGCTTACCAAGAAGTCGGGGCAGTAGATGCTGTTATGGTGAACATGGTGGCTTGGGCTACAGAGCTGCCTCTAACGGAGAGGACTCCACTCTTTCAAAGATAGGCACCCCAAGGAACTAAAGGATTAAACTCTATAGATCTTTAGCTTTGACATATAGCGTCATCAGCATCACTGAATCCAAGATCTAACTATATAGCTGAATCTGAACCTGGTACACAGGCTGGCTTGACCCTTATCATCCTCTTGCCTCTTCCTCCACCCTGAAGTCGAACCAACCAAGTGCTACCCCAGGTGAAGGTCAGGCAGAGTGACCCACCCTCAAACAATGGTAAATGTGGTTTTAAGGAAATGCAGGCTTTTCAAGACTTAATTACCTACAAGCTGAAAAACAAGACATAGTCTCTAGGAAAAGCTGGGTGGAGGTGACAGCACCCCACATAAGTTTCTATGAACTCAGCAAAAACAAGCACAGAAATAGTGAAAAGTTATTTTGTCCGTTTTTTGTTTGTTTGTTTGTTTGTTTGTTTTTGTTTGTTTGTTTTTGAGACATGGCCACATGTATCCCAAGCTGGCTTTGAATCTTCTATGCAACCATGGATGACCTTCAACTTAAAAAAAACATATATATTGTGTGTGTGTTTTGTATGTGTACCTGTCCACACAGGTACACAGAGGACACAGAGGACAACCTGTGGAAGTCTGTTCTCTTCTTCCAACTATATGGATCCTGGGTATTAAACCTGGGTTGTCAAGCTTAGTGGAAGACATCCTCATCCACTGAGCCAACCAAACAACATCTTAACCTTGAACTTCTGATAATCCTTACCTCCACTTCCCAAGCGCTCGGGAATGTCACATGTGGTGCTAGGGATTGAATTCAGGGCTTCGTGAATGCTAGGCCAGGACTCTCCTGACTGCGCTATATCCCTGGCCTCATCAGCAAAAAGACCTACAACCGGCTCTCAGACCTCAGGTAGCACACAGGACTTTCTTTAGGTTGGGGCAGGGGCTGGGTTCCGCTCACAGCAAGTCAGGCAGGTACTTCAGAGGCCCCTTTGTCCCTGCAGGGGTCCAGGGTGTTCTCTACCCTTCTGCCGACACGCCTATCAGGACACCTTGAGCCAGCTCGTGTGTGCCCCGCCCTCATGCCCCACTGGCACCCTGCACTCACCAAGGTATGCCGCTTCATGTGCTCCCGCCTAGTGAACTTCTTGCCACAGATCTCGCAAGGGTAGGGCCGCTCTCCGGTGTGTGAGCGCATGTGCCGCTTCAGGATGCACTGGTGCATGGCTGAGAAGCTGCAGTAGGGGCACTTAAACTTCTTCCTGATCACTGCGAACTCGTTCACTGAAAAGACAGTGGCAGGGACATTAGCACCTGGCCCCGCACAGCCAGCCAACCAACCTGCTCTGCCTCAGAAGAGACGGTCGGTCGACACGCTCATCAGAGCCCAGGAAGGTGGATACATGGCTCTCTGGAGCCTCTACAGGACAGACAACCTTCTAAGGCTCAGCTGAGAACAGATCAAGAGCTTCCCTCGGAGTCAGCAGCTTGCTATGGGAACAAGTGAGCCTGCACAGCTGTCTGCACCCTGTTCCCTACACCCACGACCCCACTGGACACCAAAGCATGGTGTTCGGCAAGGGTGCACTATATGCTACCCTGTTGAGGAATATAAGAAAAGCCAGCATTCAAGCCAGGTGGTGGTGGCGCACGCCTTTGATCCCAGCACTTGGGAGGCAGAGGCCTGCCTAATCTACAGAGTGAGTTCCAGGACATAGAGAGATGCTGTCTCACCCACCACCCTACCCCCAAAAGAAAAACCATCGTTCAAGAGTGGCGCAAGCACAAAAGCTAGAAATGATAGCCAAATGGTTTCATATAGTTCTGTCCTGACAATTGGACAGCACACTGTAGCAAGAACACCGCACTGTCATCTCTACTTAAGTGGATATAGTCAACTTCAAAAACTCAAGGACCTACTCCGAGTCCCCAGTGCTTTTCTGCTCTCGAGGTCCCAACCACAATGTGGGCTTGGAACTGAACAGCACTTAGAGCAGCCCTGAGGGCACCTGGGTGTGATAGCGCGAGGGAAATGCTTTTTGAGTCACGGGGAGCCCCATCCTCACGTGACAGAGCCTTTTATTTTCAGCTCTCCTGCCTTTCTAGGGACCTAGGATGTGCTTCCGGCAAGCGAACACTGAGCACTCTGTGCTAGATCTGGAGAGACCCTGAGCTCACACCTCGGATCTGCAAACCAGGCTGTGACACAGCACAGCAGGCAAGTGGTCATTCCTCAGAGCCCCGTGTACATTCCCAGTCTCCGAGTCCCCTGGGAAAGCCGAGAACACTGTCCCCAAGGCTTCCTTTTCCTTAAAATTTAAGAGTTTAGCCAGGCCAGGGTGGTGCACGCCTCTAGCCCCAGGACCTGGGAGGCAAAGGCAGATGGATTTCTGTGAGTTTGAGGCCAGCTTGTGCCAGTCTCTTTTCTGCTTCTTAGAGATGGAACCTGGAAAGATTCAAAACCCTTCCTAGACTGCAGCCATGGCCATTTGCATAAGAGATTTGAGGAACTGGGTATGGTAGCACGTGCTTGTCATTTTAGCACTCTGCAGGCTGAAGCAGGGGGATTACAGCAAGTTCAAGTTCAGTTTGAACTACAAACGGAGACACAGACCAGTCAGGGTCAAAGCCAGTCAAGGCTCTGTGTCAAAAAAATGAACAAATATGGCCAGGCATGGTGGCGCGCACCTTTAATCCCAGCGCTTGGGAGGCAGAGGCAGATGCATTTCTGTTTGAGGACAGCCTGGTCTGCGTAGGGAGTTCCAGGAGAGAAACTACATAGTGAGCCCCAACTTCAAAACAAATGAGAAAGAGGGGGAAGGAAGAGAGAGAGAAAAAGAGAGGCCTGCGAAGCATGTCCCATCCCTCAAGAGAAGAGCAGGACACAGACGTGTAAACAGCAAGCTCAATTGCTGTGGTCGCTGAGGGCTTGACTGGATAGTGAGCTCACGTGGCTGTCCCTGAGAAGCAGCACGGGCAGCCCTTCCCTTTGCCAGCCTCTACTCTTTATATAGATTTTTAAAAATACCCATAATGACGTCATGTTCATTTGTTTTCCTTTATTTTTTTTTAGGTCCTACTGGTTGAACCCAGGGCCCTCGCATGTGCTAGCCTTCTGCCACAGAGGTGTATTATCCTCAGCCCTATGTCTACTTTATAATTAGTTTTGTCCACGGAAATGTTACAGTGGGTCTCTACGAACAGCTCTGCCCAGAGCCTGAGAGGCAGAGCCTGTTTCCATGTGCTGTGCCTTTAGCCAACTCCAGTGCCCACAGCCAGGCGGGTATTCGAAGAAGCAGTGCAGCTCCTGCAGACAGGCCTTCCCAAAAGTGGGTCCCAGTAGGAGACTGGAGCATCGGGCAGCGATGGGAGACACAGGGACAAAGCAGCTGGCACTCGACTCTGCATGGCCAGGACTAGCAGGATACTCATGACATATGCCAAGTGACAAAAGCAACATAGATGTCTGGTCACCACCCACACCGCTCCAAAAAGGAAAAACATGAGCTGCTTTTGTCCTCTCCTTTTAGACCTTGACTTGGCTCACATTCCAGGCAGCAGAACACTGTTCCTCAGTCTAGTCTCACAGCTCCACAATGGCCTTTCTCACTCCCAAGATTCCTAATTTCCTCTTATCATATTTAAAATAAGCAGGCCACTCTAAGACAGAAAGGGAAAACGAGGAGCCAAGTTCCCACAATGTTTTCTTAAATGATATCTTGGGGTTGCAGCCACGATTTCTGTTCTTCTAGAAGTACAAAGATTAAAGCTGGGCATGGTGGTGCACGCCTTCAATCCCAGCGCTCGGGAGTCCATCTTGGTCTACAGAGTGACTGCTAAGATGGCTCAACCATTAAGAGGGCACACTATCCTTGCAGAGGACCTAAGTTTGGTTCCCAGCACCCAGGGCTGATCACAGCCACCTGTAACTCCAGTAACATGTAATCCCACACCCTCTTCTGGTCTCCATGGGCACCACCTCCCCACACACTTACAAAAATAAAATACTTAATTTTTTTTAAATTATAGGAGCTGAAGAAGCGACTCAGTGGTTAAGAGCACTTGATCCTGAAGAATCAAATAGTTCACAATTGTCTATAACTCCAGTTCTGGGAGGTCACGCCCTCTTCTGACCTCTATGAGCACCGGGTATGCACACAATTCAAGAAACATGCATACATATAAAATAAAAAGAAAATTTAAAAATGTAAATGGGACAAGTAAATATCATGAGAATATGGCCTCACAAAGGGCATGGGAGAGGGGCACCAAACATTTATGTGTGTGTATGTATACAGAAAAGAAGGTAAGCACTGCTCACTGCAGGAAAACGGCCAGTGAAATTCATCACATTAATAAGTGAGACTAAAACTGTAATCATCTTGACTGTTAGAAATTATTTAGTAAAATTCCACTGACACACTTTTTATGGCAAATAAAACTCTGTAAATTTTTTAATCTTTTAATTGTATATTTACATTTAAGCATAAAATTCAGAATATATGTTAATAAATACTTAGACAGAAAGCGTTTTTTGTTTTTTGTTTTGTTTTGTTTCTGTTTTTGTTTTGTACACAGGGTCTCACAGTATAGCGCTCTCTGTCCTGGAACTCACTGTGTAGACCAGGCTGGCCTCAAAGTCAGATGTCTGCCTGCCTCTGCCTCCTGACTGCTGGGGTTAAAGGCGTGCACCACTACACCTGACTATAGAAAGATTTTTTTTCCTTAAAAAAAAAAAAATAAAAAAACAAACAAACAAAAAAACAACTTAGATTGGACATGCCCCATGAACCCAACCCTTATGACAGGCTTTTCCCCGAGCAGAGATAGACAGCAGATAGGAGCTCTACACGTGTGCCACTGTCATCCCCGCCCTGCAAAGGCCGAGTTAGGACGCGGAGAGTTTGAGGCCAGTGTGGGCTATGTACAACACCTTAACTGCCTCTCAGCAGCTCAAGCACCGAGAGGCCCTCAACCTTACCAGAAAATGCAGGCCAAGCCAACTACCAAAAACAGGCCAAACTCTGCATTGTTAGCCAGTACACCTTGAGTCTGTAATACTTAGAAAACATCTTTTGAAACTGCCTATGTCCAGTGAAACATTGCTTCTCTTTTTGTAACATGCAGTTTGGTCTCCTATTTTTACTGCTGCTGAGCCACAGGATGCCACCTTCAGATGCCAACAATAACGCTCTGGCTGTAGAATCCACAAGTGGTCACTCAGGAACCTCTTCTTTACTCTCAAGAATGCAGAGAACCACCAGTGAGTGAGACAGGATAGGCAGGTTTGCTGAATGCACATGTAGACAGAGGAGTAAATGGACACTTCCAGAGTCATCATGGATGGTCATGTGCGTGCTTCTTCATGGAGTGACAATTTCCAAAACACTGCAACTGTGATGCATCTCAATGGAGCCAAAAAAGTTATGCCTCATTTTTCCACTTAAAAAAAAAAAAAAAGATTTGTTTGTTTATTTATTTATTATGTATACAACATTCTATCTGCATGTACACCTGCACGCCTGAAGAGGGCACCAGATCTCATTATAGATGGTTGGGAGCCACCATGTGGTTGCTGGAAATTGAACTCAGGACCTCTGGAAGAGCAGACAGGGCTCTTAACCTCTGAGCCATCTCTCCAGCTCCATTTTCCCCACTTATAAATGTACTTCGTGTGTTAAAATAATAAAATAAAATAAAATAAAAATAGACATTCAAATTATTTTCAGAATTAAAAAAAAAACACTTGTTATTACACGTATTTACTTCTTTGGGGGGACATACATAGGACAGTCAGATGACAGCTGGCAGGGGTTGGTTCTCGCCTTCCACCATGAGGGCTCCGGGGATCAGACTCAAGTAGTCAGGCTTGCTGGTAAGTGCCTTCACTTGCTGAGCCTTCTAGTCTTGCCCTGGGAAGTTTTAAATCTGATGTAAAGTGTACACATCTTAAGAATAATCTGCAGCATGCCTGGAGGATCCCCACAGGCCAATCAGAGCCAGCCCCGAAAGGCACTGAATGACTGCTCTGCTCTTCGGTTTTGCTATTCGAAGACTTGGTGTCTGTGGAGTCATCTGCCCGTGACTGACTGGATTCAGTCAGCATGGGTCTGCAGAGCTGCAGTCAGTCCATTCTTGCTTACTGCTGCATGGCATTCTTTTGTGCAAACGGATCACAACCTGCCCATCTCTGCAGATTCATCTGGGCCTAGTGGGCAGTGGCGCTGAAATGGTGCCTACAGGTGTGCCTTGGACACATGGATAAGGGCACCAAAGAATCACAG